ACTGCAGGTCAGGTCTCCCCTGAGCAGGGCAGAGGGGCACAGTGCCCTCGGTGCTGCCCACGCTGGCTCAGCTCAGCACTCAGGGGGCTCTGGGTGCAGCATATGTGGTTGGGGCTTGTGGAGCTTCTGTACCACACACCCCCAGGTCCTTCTCCCAGGGCTGCTCCCAATCCATTCCTCACCCAACCCTAGGGAAACTGACTGTGTAGCATGTCCCAAGTGCCGTGTGTGAGGCTTGGCAGAGCCATGGCAGGGGAATTACGAGCCTGGGGTGTATTTATCCATTGCCTGGGTTAAAAGTGAAGCTCTTGGTCAACTGGTGCCTCCACCAGTGGAGATGGAGCTGTCAGGGCTGAGCAGCCACTCTCCCCCCTCCAACAGTGGCTCCAGCCCAGTGACTCCTGTGCTGGGGGTGGAATTTTTCCAGCAGTTCTTGGATGTAAATGACACAGTAAATGAGCTGTAATGGTTGGAGATGAATGGCTGTTCTCCGTGTCTGGGAGCTGTTCCGTTCCGCCCTGAGGCTCCTCTGGCTCTGCAATCTGAGCCTCTCCCTGGGTCCTGGAGATGAAAGTGTGCAGTGAACCATCCAGGCTGGCTTGTTCCACTTTGCAAGGGCTTACAGAGCTCTGATCTGTGCCTGGAAGAGTTCCAGGCCAGATCGAATGGGGCTTGGGGCAAACTGGGCTGGGGTGGAACTGGATGAGTTCTAAAGTCCTTCTGACCCCAACCATTCCATGACTCTAAATAAGACTGAAGATTTCAGGCACTGTGGGTACAAGTTTTAGGAGACAGAATGAATAAACCTAAAATACACCTACATCCAGAGGACAACAGAAACTAAGGAAAGAGTTTCAGCCTCAGAAATAATTTCATCAGATTATTGAAGTGGAGCCAGGCAGAGAGAGCTGGGGGAGCTCAGCCTGGAGAAGTTCCAAGGAGACCTCAGAGCCCCTCCAAGAGAGCTGCAGAGGGACTTAGGACAAGGGATGGAGGAACAGGACACAGGGAATGGCTTCCCACTGCCAGAGGGCCAGGACAGGCTCCCTGTGAGGTGCTGAGGCTCTGGCACAGGTTGCCCAGAGCAGCTGTGGCTGCTCCATCCCTGGGAGTGTTCCTGGCCAGGCTGGATGGGGCTGGGCTTGGAGTGGGCTGGTGGGAGGTGTATCTGCCCAGGGCAGGGGGTGGGACAAGATGATCTTCAAGTTCTTTTCCAACCCAAACCATTCCATGACTCTGATTCTGACGCTTGTTGAGTCTGTAAACAGAGGAAATGCACTTTAATCTGCAGTTCAGGTAGATTTAACCCTTTTCAGAAGGTCCAATTTGCTGCTCTCTGGGCAGGGAGTAGCTTTGTCTGCAGCCACGCAGAGGTGTTTGAGGAGAGGTTGTTTATCTTCTTCAAGTTCTTTTCCAACCCAAACCATTCCATGACTCTGATTCTGACGCTTGTTGAGTCTGTAAACAGAGGAAATGCACTTTAATCTGCAGTTCAGGTAGATTTAACCCTTTTCAGAAGGTCCAATTTGCTGCTCTCTGGGCAGGGAGTAGCTTTGTCTGCAGCCACGCAGAGGTGTTTGAGGAGAGGTTGTTTATCTAAAACAATTCCTTCAGGAAGGGATTGCAAAACGCCTTGCACAGCCACCAGCAATCAGCAGCTTGGGGAAGTACCCAGTGACCTTCTCAGCTGCACAGTCTGCTTTCACACCATGGTTATGTGGTGGTTTCAGATGCATCCCTGGTCCAGCTCCTTTAGGTGGTCAGGGGGCAGGTGGGCTTCTGGGGACAGGGGGGTTCTTGGGTTGAGGTGAGCTCCAGGGGGAAGGTTGTGAGGTCGTGGGGTTGGGTGGGCTCCTGGGGTCTCTCCCACTGAAGGAGCAAAGCACCTGGCAGTAAAACATGACACACAAGTCCAGGTTTGGAGGGTTTGTCTCCTCTCTTGAAGTTCTATCCAGCACAGGGGTAAATAAGGTCAGCCCATACTGGAGCACCTAAATCGAGGGACACCCCCTTGTCCATGAGGATTGCACATGTGGACACAGTGAGGTTCCTCCCTGCTGGGTGAAGCTTTTTCCCATCCCAGTGCTGCAGAGTTGGTTCTCTGAGATCTCCTATACTTCGTACAGAGGTTTCAGCCAGCACAGGTAGCTGAGTGGGGCCCTTGGCCAGTTTCCATGTGGATCTGAGGCTCCTGAGGAGCCACCAGGTCTGGTTTCCACTGCCACACTCCAGACATACCATTCCTAGGGCAAACAGGTCTGACCACTTCAGCTCTGTCCCCAAGCCAAGTGCAAAGGAGTGTGCTGCAGTTATAGTCCAAGCAAGGTGAAGTGATTCCTTCTCTATGTCTGTCCCTTGGCTGTCCCGATCCTCTGGTTCAGGGTTTTATCCAGCACAAAATAGATAGCTTCAGGTGAAACATGGAATCACAGAAAGTTTGGGTTGGAAGGACCTTAAAGCTCATCCAGTGCCACCCCTGCCATGGGCAGAGGCACCTCCCACCAGCCCAGGCTGCTCCAAGCCCCATCCAACCTGGCCTGGAACACTCCCAGGGATGGGAGAGGGGAGGGGGTACAGGAGAAACAGGGTAATAGGAAGGGGAAGTTCTGAAAAATCTAAAACAATAGATATTTTTGATGAAAAGTGAAGGCCCTGGGGCCCAGCTGGGCTCCCTGGTGCCCATTGCCCTGGCTGTGGTGCACCCTGGTGCCTCCTGGCCCATTCCTAGCAGTGCTGGGTGCTGCAGGCCATGGGGCAGGGGCTGTGCCCTCAGCCCTTCTTGTTTGTCAGCGTTGCGAGTTATCGTCAGAATTTCCTTTCTGGGGTTATTCTGTGATGCCTTTCTGGGTTGGCAGGCACAGAGATCAGGTGCCTGGGAGAGGAGGGGTGTCCCAGCAGGAGGTGGCACTTCGTGGTATTTTCTGGCCAAACTGACCTTTGTTCTGGTCATGAAGTGTCCATGCCTGGTGCCAGGGTGCTCTCCAGGGCAGATGGAGCCTTGTTTCCTCAGGCAGAGCTTCCAGGATAACCAATTCCTTTCCCTTTCCTCCACTCCAAGTGTCTTGACAAGCACTTTGAGCCCAGTTGAATCACAGTTTGTTTAAAGCAATAGAATTCCCCAACCAAGCTCTGCCTGAATATATGGCTCGGAGATTTGCCATCTCCTCCAAATATTTACACTTGCCTGGATGGGATTGGATTACCTGAACCTCAGCTGAAAAGCAGCTCTGGCCTTTCCATGGGCTTCCCAGGAGCAGGCAGGGTTGTCCTGTGGTTTGCCCAGCAAGCAGCAGGAGCTTCAAGGCTGGACCTCTGTAATGAGAGAGAGAGCTGTGATCCCTAAAAGCCTGGAGCGAGGCATCCAAGCAGTCTGGGTGCTCCTGTGGCCAGGGGAAATCAGGGCACTTTTAAGTTCCTTCCATAATTGTCCTGTGGGTTCACTAGGAAATAGAAAGGGACTTTAAGGACTCAGGAAAGGGCAGGATATAGATACAGAATCGCAGGCTGGGTTGGGTTGGGAAGAGCTTGAAACTCATCTTGTCACCCCTACCCTGGGCAGGGACACCTCCCACTAGCCCAGGCTGCTCCAAGCCCCATCCAACCTGGCCTGGAACACTCCCAGGGATGGAGCAGCCACAGCTGCTCTGGGCAACCTGTGCCAGTGCCTCAGCACCTCTCAGGGAGCAATTCCTGCTCAAGATCCACCTGTCCCTGCCCTCTGGCAGTGGGAAGCCATTCCCTGTGTCCTGTCCCTCCAGCCCTTGTCCCAAGTCCCTCAGCAGCTCTCTGCTTGGAGCCCCTTGAGGCATTGGAAGGGGCTCAGAGGTCTCCTTGGAGCTTCTCTCCAGGTGTACACCCTCAGCCTGGCTCCAGGGCAGAGGAGCTCGTGCTCTTGGAGCATCTCCATTTTACCACCCTCATTTTAACAGCTTTTTTCTTTCTTCTTATCCAATTCAACGCTCCAAACTTTCACCCCTTGTGGATCATTTTGCCTCCTTTCAAGCACAAAGCCAAGGAAGAGCTGCAAACACAACAGGTCATTAAGTCCTTCAGTCAAGCATTACAACGACTAGGTTTTGATGGAATTGTGCCCGTTCTCCCTTCTTTCCCTCAAAAAAGGGAAGTAAAAAGGTAGAGAAATCAGTTTTCTGTGGTATACATTGCTTTGTCCTGCAGCCTGTGCAGGTGTGAGGTGTATCCAGATATGCTGTGCTGGAGCGAAGGGGTGAGGCAGCACAGGAGCAGAACAGGCTGTGACCAGGCTGTGCCAGCCCTGCCAAGGGACAGGGACAAATCCAATGGGATTTAAGTCACAATGAAATGGACAAGAACAATCTGAGCCTCAGCTGTGAAACAGCCTCAGGGTGCCACAGGCACAGGGTGTGAGGTGCAGCAGTGAAAGGGCTGAAATCACACCAAGTTCTGCTGCAGCAAGGTCAGAAGCAGCAATTGTGCACCTGCAGTGCTGCCCCAGCTCTAGGCACCTACAGCAGGAGGATGTGTAGCTGCTGGAGAGAGTTCAGAGAATGCCACAGAGATGCTCCAAGGGCTGGAGCATCTCTGGAATCTGTTTGTGATTCCATGACTCTCCATTTACATCCAAGCTGAGTTTTCCTTAGTTTCCTTATCCGCTTGCTTTGAGTAGAAGCTGCTGAAGAGGAAGGGAGTTCCCAGGTGTTGGTGTGCTGGAGCTGAGCGTGGCTGGCATTGGGAGCAGAAGGTGAATCGGGTCGAGGTGGGGCTGGAGGGATCTCTGCAGCTCCGGGAGCTGCCTGTCTCTGGGCTGCCTGTCTGGGGGTGGCTGTGCCAGCAGGGAAGGAGAACAAAGCTGTAGCAGCTGTGGGTGGAACATAACACACCTGAAGACGTCAGCCCTGAGTCCACCAGACATGAAATAAAGGGATTGGGAAGCTCAGATCTGCTATGACTTGCCAGAATTTGCTCCCAGGGAAGAGGATGTTGTGCTAATCCATCCGGGAGGGGAAGCAGGGCCAGGGCTCAGCTTGTTTATTCCTTGAGTGTTGAATTTGCAAGTGAATGTTTTCAAGTAGTGACTGAGCTCTCCTGTGCTCTGGCAGGTGATGGATCACACGTGGAGTCTGTGGGAAGGGAGATGGATGCCTGCAGGGAGCTGCAGAGGGACTCTGTGCTGGGAGCTGCAGGGACAGGACAAGGAGCAACAGGGAGAAATTGAGAGAGGGAAATTTAGGCTAGATATCAGGAAGAAGCTTTTCCTGTGAGGATGGTGAGACACTGGCCCAGGTTGCCCAGGGAGGCTGTGGCTGCCCCAGCCCTGGCAGTGTTCACAGCCAGGTTGGCTGAGCCTTGAGCAACCTGCTCTGGTGGGAGGTGTCCCTGCCCAGGGACTAGATGATCTCTGAGGTCCACTCCAACCCCTTAACATTTCATGTTTCTGTGGTGCTTGGGTGACTGCTGGTGTCTGGGGAGAGGTCCTGTCCCTCCCCCCCCGCCGTGGGGAAAAGCTACAACCTTGATGATTCTATGACAGCTCATCTGTTCCCTTTGTGAACCCTGTGCCACAAATGCATCTCACAGTCCTGAGCTCTCCTGTCCCACTCTGGTGCAGGTGAAGCGCTTCAGAAGTCGTTGTCGGGTTCCCTTGAGCTCAGCAGTGTCTCTGCTCTGTTCCAGTGACTCGCCACAACCACCTGAAGGACTTCATGCTGGTGGTGTCCATCGTCATCGGGGTGGGTGGCTGCTGGTTCGCCTACATCCAGAACCGCTACTCCAAGGAGCACATGAAGAAGATGATGAAAGACCTGGAGGGTCTCCACAGAGCTGAGCAGTCTCTCCATGACCTTCAGGAAAGGTAGGTTTCATGTATCCGCCCAGCTGGAGCCATCAGCTGTCAGATCTTCCTGCAAGGTTCTTGGTGCTTTAGATTTCAGGAAATACTTCCTTTAGCTGTTGTGGTGTCATGTACCACAGTCAGCCTTGTCCTGGCAAACCTGCCAGCAGCCTCCTGAGCTTGGGTGGGTGCCTGATTCCTGAAGGCATTCACCTTCCAGGCTCTGTGTGAAGGGGTGTGTGTGTGTGCTCTCCTGGCCTACTCTTTCCTAGAGTCATGGAATCACAGCAGGTTTAGGCTTAAAGATCATCTTGTCCACCAAGGACACCTCCCACCAGCCCAGGTTGCTCTAAACCCCATCCAGCCTGGCCTAGAACACTCCCAGGGATGGGACAGCCACAGCCACAACCGTGGGCATCAGGCACAGCATGGAAGGAGGGGATTGTCCTGCTCTGCTCTGACCTGGGGCAGCCTCACCTCCAGTCTTGGGGGCAGTTTGGTGCCTCAGTGTAAGAAGGATCCAAAGCTGTTAGAGAGCATCCAAGGATGGATACAAGGCTGGGGAAGGGTCTGCAGAGGCCACACGAGGAGTGGCTGAGGCACTTGGGTTGTTCAGCTGAAGCAGAGGAGACTGAGGGCAGAGCTCAGCAGGGTCTGCAGCTCCTCCCAAGGAGCAGTGCAGGGACAGCTCTGATCTCTGTGCCCTGGGACAGGGACAGCATGAGGGAACAGCTGGAGCTGTGTCAGAGGAGGGTTAGGCTGGAGATTAGGAAAAGGTTCTTCCCCCAGAGGGCTGGAACAGGGTTAGATGGATGTCAGGACAAGGTACTTCCCCCAGCGGTGGCTGCCTGAAGTCCATCAAAACTCAGGTGGTCAGCTTCCATGAGGTTTGTCAAAGGAAATATGGATGTCCTTGGAAGGTGAAGAAAATGTGTCTGGAGAATCTGATCAGTGAATAAAGTTGAGACTGAGCAGTTGACAAGTAATTTCTTCTCGGGCATGATGAACTTTCTCTTGGCTTTGCAGGTCTGTGGTGATCCCAGCCTGGTGCAGGCAGGAGCAGGGCTGGTCTGTGGTGGCCCCGTGGGCTCCGTGGCTGTGCCTGGAGATCTCAGCCGAACATTGGCTCTTGCTCTGTGTGTGTTGCAGGCTGCAGAAGGCACAGGAGGAGCATCGCTCTGTGGAGGTGGAGAAGGTGCACCTGGAGAAGAAGCTGCAGGATGAGATCAGCATGGCCAAGCAGGAGGCTCATCGACTGCGGGAGCTGCGTGAGGGCACTGAGAACGAGCTCAGCCGCCAGAAGTACGCGGAGCAGGAGTTGGAGCAGGTCAGGGCTCACCTGGGGCACTGCCACGAGGGCATGGCAGCCAGGGTAGGGGGGACCTCCTCACTGT